TTGAGTTAAATTCTGTGTGCACTGTGATTTCCAGACTGATAGGCTGCCAACAAAATTTATGCCTGTCGTGTTTACTGAAAGTGCAGCGGAAAGCATTTTTACGAATTCCTCGTGAATTGCGGTTCTCATTCGGATTAGGCGATAATATAGCTTTGTATCCGGATGTAGCGCAGGACTGTGTTGCTCAAAATGTGAGGGACGTTGATAGCTTTTCTACTGAGTTTTTCTTTTCCATTTTCTACACAACAGACTTCTTTGAAGAACGTTCCCATACCCCGAGACGAACTGAAATTTCAGGCACAGGCGAGAACGATGCGGAATACCACTCACTAAAGCACCGAAACTTCTTTATGTATGTATATCAATAGATATGAAATGTCACAACGGGAACATTAACTGTCAATAAAGAGACTACCATGTCAAACTTGTATCAGTACGCGTGTGTGTGTTTGTACGGAGTGCCAAATAGATAGAGCACATGTGCCATGACGACGATTGATCTGACCATGAACTGACAACGCCTGTGCAACTTCGTCCACATAGGATATACGATCAATTGTTTGTCAACCGAGGAGGAGTCGTGCTGTGTTCGAATGATTCATTTGGTAGTTGCTTTAACACCTATCAATCGGGCAGTGTGACACCTGTCTTTATCGAACTGTCCAACCATTCGTCGATGCTCACTCAGTATATTGTTTTCGCCAGAGAGTGAACATGGATGCGAGACTGGTTTTCGTTTCACACCAGACACACGTTCGCCTACCAGCCGCCAATAATCATGCCGCCAGCGTTTTCTTGCACCTATTTGATGTTAGGACGGAACGTGTCGTGAATTTTTCTTTTCACAAGTTCACAAGTTATATATTCAGGTACACACAGCATGCGCGCACGCACTGACGCACATGGAGCGAATGAGATCGGATGCGTCTCTCGTTTGCTCTGGTTTTGGGCATGCGCCTAAGCAGTGTCATGGCTCTCGGACTGAATCATTCATGAGGTCCGTGAAGGTGTTCGCGTGGGGGTGCTGAGATGAATCATCTTGTCCACAGGAGTGTCACGCGCTGTTTGACTGTGCATTTGCATAGCGTCCAATAGAGACGGTACAGAGCAGAGTTCAATTTACTTGCACGTGAGTGCGTGCGTGAAGCGTGAGCGTGTCAACATCTGTTCACAATTTGACACACACACACAGAGTCCATTGAGTTAAGGTTACCGAACGTAATTTCGTGAATTCCGCGCACGTGTAATTGGACGAATAACTGAACAGCTAGTTGATACTAGACCACCGCCCAAAGTGGGCCGAGCAAACAATTTCATATTTTCGGTTTTCTGATGCATTTTGGATCTGGGTTTTAGACTTGCACCCCCTCCCCCCACCGGTCCGGATCCCTTTACTTTCCCTCTCTAACGCTGTTCCTTTGGCACACGCATCGAGATTCGACTCGGTGAAGCAGTTGGAGGAGAGACTGAGTACAGGTTACACTTTGACGAAACAAACAATTCTGTGCATGGACCATGACTAACTGAAAGGCTTTACGGTGTGCAAGAGTTATGCGCACGTAGAAAACTAATTTGAATGCTTGTAAAAAGAACGAAATGTGATTAAAAATCAAGCAAACAAACAAGGAACCTCGAGAAAATCCAACGTTTCCTCCAACGCAGGATAATTTTTACGCTCCTCAGGTTTTATTGTTTTGTGTTCCTAAAGTTGAGATGTTTGCAATGGACCTGCCTCAGAGTAGGATTCTCCTGCCAGACAGTGATTTGGTTGAACAGCATAACCCTTTGTCGATCCATTGCCATCGAGCTTAGATAGCACGGAAAATAGCTACAGAGACAGGCATACTTTCCGAAAGTTGTACAACTTTGTTGATTGACAGGTGTGGTATAATCATGGACTTGAGTCGGTAATCGTTAGCAGGCCCACGAAGGAAGGTGTGGTACAAGTAACCATCGAAGACCTTTTGAATTGATTTACTGCTGGACTAATATGGATGCAAATAAATGATTGCAAAATGATGAATAAATGTTTTTAGAACCCAAGACAGCATTTGTATGACCTTCTTCCCTCCCCATAAATTTGACTGTGTACTTATGTACACAATAAATAAAAAGTAAGTTAAAACTGGTAATTAACAAAAAATCCTTCAACTTAGAGGTTTCGTAACGACCAGGAACGTTTTGGTGCGCCCACATGTCGATCGGAGTTTAACAAATGTGCAATTGGATGGATAGTTTCCTTCCATGAAGACCAATATATTTCGAGACATTCATACATTCCGGTTGATAGAGGACGTTCCGTTTGTCTACTGTGACTCTGACCGTAGATACATTGAAGAGACTAGATGCAGTTGGAAGGATTTTCAATGTCTTCTCGATCCAGAGTGATACAACGGAATGCCCCGTAGAGAATCATTAACGAATGTAAAAGGATGATAATCACTGTCCAGAAAATCATGGGCCAGTCGGTCTATAGTTTATCTGGGAGAACTTGTGGGCCACATTGTTGGCGAACCTCTTGGAATGAAGTAATCACCAGACCGCGTTTTTGTCTCTCGCAGGACAGAAACGCCTAAAGTGTAGACATAGTCCTGTCCATATTAGCTTTTGATACATTGCTTTTTGAAGTTTCCTCTCTGACAAATAATTATTTTTTATTTCCTTTTTATCTATTGAGTATACCAATGTATACAGTCAAATTTCAGGAAGAGGGACATAGAATAGCCGCCTGGGGAAATTCATAAATGAGGAACATGGGCGGCAGTGGTAGCTGGATTCGAACTTAGGACCTCCCAGTTGTTATGAGCTATGTGCTAATTAACTGATGTACACCCCGAGACAGTCATAGACAAAATTGGTAACGTTAAATGGCTTAGTAAATAAGGGTGAATAACGAAGTGCGAATGAGCTTTTCAATTCAAATAAGTCAGAGATAAATCATACTCAGGTGTGACATGACCTCAACTGTAGGAAAAAGCTCTACACGCACATATCTAACCGGGTTTGATACGGTTAGAAATGATTGTTCCACCGGCAAAGTGAGCAAGTTTGTTCACAAGGCAATGTTGTTCAGTGGAACGCGAATAGCGATACAGTTGAACATTTGCAAATTTTAGCAGTGCCGGCCTGGAAAGAAGGGTCTGGTCGAAACAGAAAGATAACCCACGACATCAAAACGTGCACACACACACAGACGTTTGTTATGATGAGGTTCAGATCGGCACACCAGTTTTTCTTTTTAACATTTACACATTCTTGTGTGATGAATGACAGACGGGGGTAAATCTGATGGCCAACCATGAAAATCGGTAATCTAAGTCCCAAAACTCTGCGTGGTGAGCCACATGTGGTACTGGTAAGTTAGGCAAAGCTGCCTAACAGGTGGGCAACAAAAACGAAGGTCTCAGTGAACGTAAAATTTATTATTTTGGGGATATAAAACAGTAGTATGATCCATTTCACTCTATAGTACTGTAAACCGATAAGTTACCGTCAGTTGACAGCAACTGACACTGCTAGGCGCTACAGATCGGTTGAACTGTACGTCACATAGGCTGGCAAGTGAAACACAATACCCTTGGGTGACGAGAATAAGTTTCCTTTGGACGGCCATCACGGTTTTCTCCATTACCGATTGGATTTTCACATAGAAACGGGGGAACGGTTTTGGGGTATGGGTGAGGTTTTCATCGCAGGGAGTAACTGAGTTATTTACTCTAGGAGGCATCTGAACCTTTGTATGTGTTAGATAGGCACACTTCAAAGCTTAATACTGCATAGTATGTCAAAAATCAGGCAAATTTCTGTGTTTTTCATCCGATAACGACCATTCATACAAATCGTATAATAGCACTAATTTTGAAACGAAAATAGCGTGAGGGCATTTCAGATCGAAACTCCCATTGTGATGTCACTTTAGAATGACGAACAGCTAGGACCTTACTGCATATTTAAAGTTTAACCGATAAAATTTAGCACCAATTTTTTGAGAAACGTATCCAGTCTTTTGTTGAAACGGAATCAATCGTTTACGTTTAACCCAACATTCGTAACTGCGTTGCACGTGCACGTGATCAGTCGTCATTTTGCACCATTTTTCTGGTTATGGAGTCATATTTTGTTTTCATTGCTTTTGAAAACAATAATTTTGTACATATGTCTTTCCCTTACTATAAATTTCACCAAAAGAGACTGCATTATAGGATTTTGTAAATAAAACATGCCAAAAAGACAAACTGATTATTGGATTACCATTCTTACTGCATGCATTGTTTGCATCTCTTTTTACCTCGGTGAAAAACCCGTTGCGACATGCCGAACACAGACAGCACACTAGTGGGTTTACTCGTGGACTTCGATGGGTCTCTAAGTGAATGAACTATAGTGGATGTTTTAATGCAAGGTAATAGTTGACAACTTTGGAATCGAATGCGATCTCTTTTGATAACATTTTACCCTGGTAAACCTGGATAGAGTGGATTTTGCACGTGGGTGCAAATCTCTTGAGAGTTACGGGAAAACCAGTTTAACGAGAGAAGTACGCTAGAAGAAGAAAACTGTAATTTTGAGGTAGAACACAAATTCTTGACCGGTCGGAAATTTTATTCTCTTGTAGCCGTGTGGATTTTTAAGACACCTTTTGATTGATAAATCACATGAATAAATCACATTCTGGATGTCCCCTCTTGTTTTACGTCACATCAAAATAGCAAAGCAGTTTCCGATTTCCGTGACAATAATCTTACATCAACAGGAACATGGTGACAGTTAATTTAGTCCGTTGAGTTCACGATATCGGCAGTTTCGCTAATTAACGGAGTGTATAATTTTGCACGCAATCGATCTTTTTCTCTAGGTATCGAGTGACCAGTGCGCTGGTTCAATCACTTTTGTTCCCGTAGAGAGAATTTGGCATAGTCATTGAACAATTTCCATAGGCTCCCACACTGCAACCTCTCCTCCCCTCAGTCCATCTTCTGAATCCAGGCCAGGTCGCTGCAATGGCCAAGGTGAGAAGAAAAAAGAATAACAGCGGCAGCTGTGCACATAAATCAAACGGGAACCAACCAACTGTTTCCCAGATAATGCTTAATCCTACCTATACCATTTTTCCCCTAACTAAAAAGAAATATTTACCCTTGTCTTCATTTCAGATTGGCGAAGTTCTCAAAGCTCTCACTCAATTACCCACCCAACTTCGTACAGAATGCAGTCGATTATCTGTCGGATTTCTGTACTACGATGAGGTGAGAAAATGTGCATCATTTTTCTTTCACAAACATTTAGCCTTCCATTGTGTCTGTGTGTCTGTGACTTTCCTCCGCCCCCCCTCCTCCCACACCCCCCCACCCCTCTACTCCGATTGCACCTCAAGGCGACTCCGGTCTGTCGCTTGCATCAAATACATGGATGGCTATGTGCTTCGTCCAAATGACGTTGGTACTAATCGTGACCAGGGTGTTGATAATTTGACTTCATTCATTCACAGCTAGACATCAATACTGGTAGATCTGTCAAAAGTCCTTGATTGTCGAGTTGGCATTGGATACAGCGCTATTATTGTGATTATACACATTGTTAAAAATTAGTTGTTTCTATGGTGAAGAGTTTGATGAGACCGATAGCATTCGGATAACCATAATAATGTGGGACTGAGTCATAGAAATCTGTTCTGTCCGGAATCTGGCTGATTTATAGTTTCTCTGTAGATGTGTAAAAAGAAATTCGAACAGAACGTGTAGAATCAACTATTTGGTTTCGTTTATAGTTTATTTTAGGAGGTACCGATCAGATAATTTAAATGTAGGCAGTAATCTAAAATTTTCGGATTGGTCCGGGAGGTTCTGCGATATTTTGATCGGGTACGCTTCTTGCATGCGTTTGATTACTACTATCCACCACTACCACCACCACCATTTTAAGATGAAACTGTACAAGCTATCCGATGAACATTATTATCAATGCTTTGACTCTTTTTGTTGAATCAGCACTTTTTCAATCACTTTTCAGGAGACAAGCGGCAGCCAATCGATGTATTCTATGGGACATAGGGAAGTGCGAATGTTAAGTGGCATTAGGGATATTAGAAACGATGAACTCTGGGTTTCTAGATTTTGAGATAATGCCCTCTTGTAGAATCGAACGACGCTAGGGTGAACAAGCTATCGACGCCTAGTCCCGTCAAGTCCTATTTTATTTTGAAGGCTTCCATAAAATCGTTTGCAAGGCCTATTCTTTTCATGAAAATACGTCCTGGAACTTCCAACCTCTCCTTGTACGATTTCCTTCTCATTCCGGAAACCATTCTAGTGGCGAACATTTGCCCCTTCTTAATGCAATGCAGATTCTTCATTAAATAAAGCAACCAAGTCTGAACAGCTGCGGTCTGACCATTGCCTTTTTTTAGAAGAAGAAGAAGAACTCTACATTTCTCGACGATAGCGCCACTTTGAGCTAAAACAGCTGTCTTCTCACTTTTTGGGTACTGCGACAGCATCGGTCACACGGTCTGAAGTCTTCGCCATTTAGAATCCCTAGGTGGATGTGAGTCCCACATTTATTGACCATATATATATGTAGGTAACTCCACGACATTATATAAAATATTTTAGTCTATTTCGTTGGACGTCGGCTGCAGTGAAATAGACAGGAATCAATAACCAAGAAACAGGAATATCAAACCGGCTAAGTTTGTATGAGTCAATGCATTATCAATGAAAATAGGAGAATGATTGCATAACAACTCACAGAATGTCAATTATTTATAAATTTTAGCTTATCTCGTAAATTTGAAAAAATAATGACTAGACAATGACTTACGTGTTACCCAACAGCCTTCATTATGTTTCACAGAGGCGGTTCACATTTTCTCGGTAAATTCCTCTTCTTTTTCCTTGAGCTTCATTTGTTGCCGTTTCGCTCATTCAACTACGCATTCCCTTTCAGTTCAAATGGGTGGAATGTGGGTTGTTTAGTTGCCGTCAATTGGAGCGTCTCTGTGTATGCCAGGTATTTTTATCGCACCGGCTTAGCCCGAACCGGAAACGGGATAGGAAATTAAAAAGAAGGTGAAATGGGTAATGAAATTTAGTTTCGCGGTTGAGGGTTCCATCACATTGCAGTCATACCCCCTCCCTCTCCCTAGATGCTCCCCGATGAACCCCACCAGCGTGTATTTCTGGTTGGGTTAAGTTTTTGATCGATTGTGAGGATTTATATGTGGATTTATCGGTCGTTTCTTCGTTCTTCCTGTTATACATCTTCCGACCTAACTCCGCATAACATTTGTGTATCGCCCCCCTCTCTCACTCCTGGTCCTCACCTCGCCTTGCCACTCCCTCTCCGCGGTACCGCTCCATCCATCACAGTGTGAACAAGCCTGCGAGTCAGATAGACCGTATACAGAGTGCAGTCGGATGTGTGAGGTGAGTTATTCGTAGCTAACCACCATGTCATGGTAAAACCGCATTGTTTTTTTGCGTGCTCATCTGTACCGGGTAAAACGAGAAACTTTAGTTCCAAATGAATTTAACATCAAAACTTGCTCCCGGAGATGTGACGTGACAATTGAACTGAGCACCAATAGTGTGTGCGCGCGTGTGTGCGTGTGATCATTTACGAACGAAGCTTGATGAGTGAGATTCATGCGGTGTATGCGGACAGCATACTGAATCAGCCAGCTAGAGTAGTGGTGTTTTTTAGCACAGAATGAAAAGCTTTTCGTGCGAAATGAGAATCACCAATTTTTTTATGAATTATAAGCACCGGTGCCGGCTGGCATGGACCCAACTCCCTTCGAAGTTAATTACCACCTCTCAGTTTGTGGGTTTCCAAAAGCAACAAACCAGTTCTTCTTCGAACTCCAAAGTTTAGCTTAGTTGAGACAGATTCAAAACATCCAAAACTTTGGTGTTCAGCTACTCGTTGAGTCTGGCAACCAGATTGCAAACGTTTCATCCCCATGGAGGTGATACTGTAAAGATACGTTCATCTTTCGACGTAGCTATGCCGAACTCGTTAAGTATTGGTCTCGTTCAGGGTTTGAATTACTCGATATCTGGATCATTTACCAACATCTGTAACTACTTCAGTAACTATTTTAATGTTTCATGTTTCCTTAGTTGATACAAATTCAACGTAATCTGTTGTTCAATTAACTACGGTCTCATTGCGATCACTCATGGTGACGATGAAGTAGTGTAAGTTGTTGTCACTAGCGCAAACCGGATAATAGGGGCTGAGGTTCGAACCCTGTCACAGCCGATTAACTTTAGTACCGGGCAGCTCAGCTGTCTTCTGGTTCAATAACATAAGGCGCACAAAGTAGTTTGAACTCCAAGCCACGCGAATATATACAGTACTGGCCGATTGTGATGCACTAAAATATTTTCTTTATGATCAAAGAGAGTTTCATTATATTTATCATCCATATCAATGCTTTAGGTATGAACAATAATTTATATCTTGTCTACTTCGATGTGCGTAGTTTCTGGGCTGCATGATTATCAATTAAACGTGCCTGACCTTGAGTGCCAAGAATAAATGATCTGAACATGAGAATCGCGAACTGTATCAAGTATGACAACGCAATACTTTCTAATAAGAATGACTCAAGAATTATCCCAAATTATTTCCGTCAACCCTTGCCATTTCCCTTAGTTGTAATGAGGCATTATTTTATCTGATTTATAATCCATTATGGCAACGCTATTGGATAACCAAATGAAATTCTTTCACAACCTAGAGAAATTGCACTAAATAAGGTTTGATAATAATAATCTATATTTGATATCTAACTCAATCAATTCGAGAAATACCACCTCAGTATAAATGCTGTTGCCCATACGAACCGACAAGTGTTTCACGGGGATCTGTTGCTTCAGTTTCGATTAGACCTGTATATATATGTATATATATATATGTATATATATTCATATATATATACGTATACATATATATGAATATATATATATACGTAGCACACTCACCTATAACGCTTGGATGGCATTACAGCCACTTTTTATAGTTTAGGATGCTTTAAGGGAAACTTAAAATGTTTTATATATTTTCTTACAACGTTTTTCAAGAATTCGAGAAGGACTATGATTGGGGTGATATGCCATCCTCGAAACAGTCCCTACTATCCAGTGAACCAGGCAAAACTGACACTACATGCCAAAATGACTCAGAGCAAACTGGTATGAACTTCATCTGTGCCGTGTGGGACCAACATTTATAAAATGCAATCAAATGGTATCCAGGGTGTACGGATGAAGTTGACAGTCCTTAAGATTGGCACATGAGCCTCATTTTTTTCTGTCTCTTAACCTGTCCCAATCACTGACACGTTTTCTGACCGATCCAGAGTGAATTTATGAGACTCCATAAAGAATGCTTCTGAAACATAAGTTCAGGGTCCATAAAGCTCAGTCCGGGGCAGAAATTCTGTTCGATCGATTTTAATTTACTGTTCATGTGAAACAGTTGTTCCGATACTCAGAGGGTATGACAGGTTGGAACAAGGCGTGTTTACCCACAATCATCTTTTTATTCAATCCCTGGCCCCCCTGCGCCTTCCAGCGCCTGAGTAATGATTCCTGTACCGAGAACAACAAGACTGACAAGCACGATTCAACCGACGATACAGGGCCAAGGGAAGTGTGTGTGTGTGTGTGTGTGTGTGTGTGTGTGTGTGTGTGGTAGAATATCAATCTACGTTCGTCCAGGGAAACCCGCACAAAGAGGAAAAAAGCTAAGACTCACAACTGTTTACTCAAAATCCTCGGGCCTCATTTGTTTGATCAAGCTGAGTCAACGACTACCTTCCCCACTCGACCTCAGTAACTTTCCGTCTGGTAAAGCTTGTCTAAAGCCACGGGTGAGTACCCTCGTTAGGTTTGACCGGAACGAAACCAACAGATTTTATCTGGAACATGATTTCGGAAACTTCTCACCCACAGTTTTGGCACGAGGCGGAATCAGATTCACAGAGAATTTTGACTGTGGTAGTTAGAAACACTGTACAGCTTTTGCAATTCACTCGATAACCGATTTATTTAAACATATGAGCCCAGTGAAAAATATTCCTAGCATAGTCTGGAATTTGGTACATCCCAAAGCATATTTGCAATCCGGATGGACTAGCACGAATGGGAAGAAGCAAACTTGGACGATAGAGGCATTTCAAGTTTGATTACTCAAATTTTGAATCCCATATGATATCCATGTTTCGTTGAACTCTCCACCACAAATCAACAGCCGAACATCAGTCGTGATTTCGCTTGATTTTTCGTCACAGATTACACGAGTTTAAGTTGAAATTAGTCACCCCTATGTGGGCTTTCGCTGGGCTTTCACTCTCCCGATAGTGTATACCTTAAACATGAAATTTATTTGAGCACTCCTCGCGACTCGAAGTTCATTCACGTTATTTTCTAATTCTCTCAACCCGGTAATGTGAGTCAGTGTCTAATGCATCAGCCTACTCTGATTAGTACACCTTGGTATTCCTGATTTCTTCTATATACCAACTTGTTTCGTGAATGATCTGCCAAGCAATATCATTTACTATATCATTATTTCCTGCTATTGCGAAACGCGGTTGAACTGCTTTCGATACCAATGTTCATTTTCCGCAACCCTTCTGCACCGTTATGCGGATCCTGGTTCCCCCCCACAAAGCGTGAATCCGGGCTTGATAACTAGGACTAGACTTTATGCATGTCAAAACCACAACACCACCACCATTTGAATCAGGTGGATCGATTTGAAAACCAGATTGTCCGCAAAACAGAGAGCTGTATTTGAATTTGCCATTTAAGTTCTTTCCATACTGTCATAAATGACGGAGATTTGGCAAGCACTACGGTAAGTGGATTCGAACGAATGAGTAGAGTAGCCAAGGTGACACCGACTAGTAGCACATAGCCAATTAACCTGTATATCTCAATCTGATTTGTCCGAAGTTTTTGACTTGTCCTGGCGCGAAGTAATGCGCGTTTCCACACCGTGGGCAAGTTGTTCATTTCACTAACATTCAGATCTTTTCCTTTGACAAAACGACGAGGTGCCGGCCTGGCAACCAATATCGGTTTCTCTCATTTGACTTGTCCACGCGCAGGTTAGCAACCAAATCACAAACACGGTCCCGTTACCCGAGTGTTTCAATTTAAATTTCGACTCAGTAACATTTTTGGCATAGCTACTGCCCTTGCCATGATGTTGATATTAAAACCTTTTGAACCGCATAACAAAGAACCGATAACGTATACTTTATAAGTGATCAAACGGTCGTTTGGCTGTGATCGATTTGCTCACGGGTGAAAAAGTAAACCATGCACCGCGTGAAATGGAGGTCAGCATGCATGCGCAACCGGACATCGTAAACACCAGTTAGATAGCTTTTAACGGTCGACTCATCCGAGAATGTGTTCCACTGGACGCATTCCACTCATGCAATTTGACCTGTGATTGAACAAGTAACTATGCCCTTGCAACACACCTGCCGGGGGATCCATAAGGCGTGAATTCTCTGGTTTAGAAAAACTTATCTTTTTGTCTGATGAAAATTCAGTAAGTCAGCCGTTTATCAGATTGACGATCAAGGACATGATGTGTCAAAATCGATCGATCAACCCGACCAGCTGGACGAAAAGCTGATCTTTCCGCACCGATCAAAGGCCCAAACAATTCGGGCTCACAGCTGATGCTCACAGCATGTGGCGCGAAAACAATAGCAAGTTTACCGGAATAGCGAACAAACTGCAGGTAATTGTGGTTTTCAGATTTTGCGATCACCATGCCGTTAAAGGAATATTCACGTGTGTGTGCGTATGTGTGCAAAGCAGTCCGATCGCCTTAGTATTTACCAATCCTCTTAGATAAAGCGNNNAATCCATCACATTTGGATCATTGTGTTATAGAACAACCAAATATCCAGGACGAGATAGCGGTGCCGCATGCGTGTAATTAAAGCAGGTTACCTTTAATTGTTTTTTCTTTCACGAGCCCTCAAAGATTGGCGATGGGCTCAGCGATTTCTATCAGTCAATCACCATGTGTGAATGCAGATGACAAATACATGGTTTGATTGCGAACCACTTGGTTTGTTCAAGAGACTGAATTTGGTATTTCCAATCGTTTATTATGATAAGTTGATGGTTAAATTTCATTTTTATCATCTCTGCCTAACTCGCTGAGAGACAAACCGAACGTTGACACAGTGATTCTAAATCCGGAAACAGATTGATAGTGATTCAATTTGTAACACTAAGTTTTACTGATCCACGTGATGGATAGAAATGAACCGTCAATCAAGAGCGCAAATTACACATCCTCTCTCCCTTGCTTTGTTACTCAGACGGGTGATTCACCCAGTGGGTGGTCATGCCTAACTGGATGTCGTATTTTGGATGCTGCCCTGAAGCATCGTTCCGGCGAATGTCCTCCAACCGGTGGACCCGCAATTCATCGATTACCGAGTCTGTCCGGGGACATTGTGGACGAAGGTTCGGCCGCATCAAGTCGATCACATGATTCGGGCACCGGGGAGAATTCTCCGGATAGTCGCAGTCGTCCACCATCGTCTTGGTTCTCTCATCCGTCCCTCCGATCCGACACGTCACAGAGCGGGATGTGCACAGTGGATGCGGAATGTCCAAAGAAAAGGGACAAATGTTGCCAGGGTCAATGCAAAGCGGCCATGTTTCGTGAGGGTAAGCAACCTGTCAATTTTATCGATAATTCCACTCAGATTTCATTTCTTAATGATTGTGGTTTTTACGAATGTCGAGTTTGAGGTCAGCGTAACCGCATGTGGTTAAAAGTAGAACTAGAGATATTATGCAATAAG